TACTAAATTTAGGCTTGCTTTTGACATAGAAGTGCTGGGGCATTGTGCTGCGAGCGAAATATCCTCAGGGACAGCCAAAATTAAGTACAAGAACTCACATATTTCAAGGCATCAAGAACACCAGGTGATGGACTTTGTTTTTGGGACCTTATCATCAGGCAAGCACATATCTGGAAGTGAGATGACCATCTGGTCAGAGCGCGAATTCACTGATCAGAAGGTCCGTGGTTCGAACCCGACCTCTGCCACTCGACTTCCCCTGTCTAGGCCTGGGGGACCTGGCAGTATCCCAGTCCTTGTGTTTCCTTCCGGTGGCATGGATGTGTGGCGCAGCTGAGCGGTTAATCTGACCTTCCTGATAGTACCCCTCCCCCAAACCCATCTATGCAAACCTTGTCCTCAAGTTGTATTCATCTGTATGACTTTTTGGCGTGAAACGAAATCCCTACATAAAAAAGTCCACAAAATCATTATCCTCCGATCCAACTCATCGGTGTACTGTTCGAAGGGAAACGTTGGAATAATCAATCGACGCTATCGATATCCCAACGAATATGCTGAGGATTCCGTTGATAAAAGGTTATCTTTCATCTCAACGTGGATGTGTTTGTACAACTCGAGTTCGAAGTAAAGTCTGTGTTCTGAAGCGAACCTACTTACTCACTTGGCCTGACGAAGCTTTTGCGTCAAAAGCGAAACGTTGCCCAGCAATAAATCCACCGATTGTTTACCAAACCCCTCTGAAACAATGTGACTGGCTGTTTGCAACTACCGAGATCGTGCATTACTATTGATAGCATGAGGAAATTTGGAATTCCAACCGAGATTCTGTCCTGCTGGTGGAATCAATCAGCGTGGAGAATCCAAGGACCTCTGGAGATTTTGTACTGTGGTTGAAGTCATTCCATGCTGAAATCCTAGAAGCACCGTGCAGTTGTTGCATTCTTACTGGGACTTATCAGCACAGCGCTCCTCACAAAACTTCAGAGTCTCACATCCGTCATCTCCTGGCTATTGGCTTGAACAATTAGCCATTAGAACACGAGTGGCTGACCAGAAGTGTGACTGAATCATATTTAGACAGGAAGTAGCACTATTCACCCGGAATCGGTCAGCTCTAATGCCCTTTTGGTGTCTAGCTGCCATGCCGCCAGAGGGCTAAGACCACATCAGGTTGCCAAAGCCCAGACAAAAGCAATCGAGATACGGAGGTTGGGTTCGAACCACGGCCCCTCCAGTCAGTAAATTCGCCCTATTACCACCGAGTCATCTCGAACTTAATCTGAATATCCCAAGAAAGTATACTTTGTTGTGAAACGACGGTTCTCCGTTGAGCGGAACTGTAAAAATCAGACAAGGCTTCGGTACCTCTCAGTTTCCAGGGTCTATAGCAGTTGTTTACAATTGGGAGGGAAGTGCCCTCTGAGGAGGAGGGTTTCGAACGGGAATGGTAGCCACACAGACTAACGGAATGGCAAGAGTGCTGGTCTAATTCGTCCATATCTTATCGGTTGCTGAGAGCAGGCTCTTTTCATTCTTTTTGTACCCATTACCCAAGTGCATGGCAAATATTGCGAAATTGACGTGATATCCTTTGTTGACTTGTTGCATCAGTGGTATCCGGATTCCAGTTTTCGATACCAAATACATTTTCCGAGACAAACACGCGTCCCAATCGGTTGAAACGCTCAAAAGGTTCCCACAACAATTCACTGGGATAGGTCCATCGACATCATAGGAAATCAACGAATATCTAGTGAATAATCAAACAGCAACGGACGAACGAGCAACGGTCACTCCAGGTGATATATTCACGGTTACAATCAGTTGGATGTGTGTAATCCCTATTAAGAGTTGCTTTTTTTGGTTTAGCATCTCGCAGCGGCTGCTGCTTTCCCACCCAAAAGATTGTCTGGATGTCAGTCCTCGGTCCCCGTTGATGGTGACCCTATCCCTGGCGTAAAGATCACTCCAGCTTAGTCGTATACCACGACTTACCCTACGTTCCCCTTAGCTGGTCGCTCATGAAATTGTCTGGCTGTCTCACTTGATCAATATGCCGAGATCTGCACTTGTTGGTTAGAATTCTATCCACATCGATACTTCTGTCCCAATTACCCAAAACTAGCATCCATGATTTGGGTTTATTCTGTGCGAGCGTTTTAAGTCTTTCGTAACCGAGCGAGAATAATAGGAGGCTAATGTGTACTGCAACCGTTCAGGCAATCCGTCGCGATTTTCGCATACGAAACTTACCTTTCTAACCAGTTTCCAGGTGTTTTGATTTTTCTTGTACTCCCCAAGAACTGCATTTGTAAAACACTACTCGTAACCAAAACAATTTACATTTTTTGCTACTCATGAGTAGCTTCGCATTGCTCCGAATGAAGAGAAATGAAGTGCATGCATGGCACATTGAGACGAGTGCGTAGGGTGAGATCGGTTAGACTTTGGAGCGGATAAGATCAAGTGAGTCGGCAAACGCAATCATATCAAGCATTCCCCAAAATCCATCTCGCGGTGTTGTTCGTGTGCACACCGAGAGACGATTCACGAGCACATGTGTAAATGACTTTTCCACAAGTATCACGCATCCTGTAAGGTTACATCTAGGCTTGTTACCTCAAGCTTGGTGGATGAAACAGTTTGGGTGTCATTATTTGAATGAACAGCTACGATGTGATATTGATGCTTCCGGTGCTGAATGGTGCACCACTTTTAATGAACGTGCCTTCCTGTTCGGTGAATCTTCCCGCGGTCCTCACTAACCTGTTTCTTGCTGAGTAATTGGGCGCGTATAAAGACTGATTCCTGCTAGTCATAGACATCTTGCGGAATCTCACGACAGTCCTGTATGATATTCAGGGTTGGCCAGCCAACCTAAGAATGACGCGTGCAACGCAGCTTCCACTCACAGATTAGGTATCTAGCAATAGTTCGGTACTGACCGACAGAGTCAGTGCCTTAACCGCAACCCAAATTGCACGAAAGTAGCGATTCGGTTTTGAAGGGATACTCACCTAGAACCCAGCTGAATCTATCGTTCATGCTTGGAAAACGATGGACTCAGCTGTCTTCCAGGTGAGTCTCCCGACAAAACCAAATTGGTATGAAAATGAGTGTACTATCCTAATATCGTGCAATTTGGTGGAACATAAGGTTGATGGAAACACGGGGACCGCGCCTATCTGATGAGCCCAAAGCAGAAGGGCGAAACAGGTCATGGGCTGTTGAAAAGTTTTCAGCAACCCTGTGAGTAGTGTATTACGTATTACTTGACAGTTCGAACTGTGCGCATCACTGAATATCACCATTCTGGCGCAACGTAATGGGTCACTAACACTAAGGACCGCAGTGTTTTCATTGACTGGTTTCAACATTCCACCGGTTGGTACTCAGAGGCATTCAGTTATCTTGTCAAGCAACGCTTGCGAACTTAACTCGTGATGCCGTTGGCCCACACAGTACGTACCTATTCTATTTAGTTACAACGCGTTGAGGCTGACCAAGGTGTCTTCCGCCTGAACTATTCATTTGGGCAATGGGTAACCAGTATTTTGATTATGGACCGCTTCATACGTTCAATTTCAGTAGCCAAACAGGAGTTTAATACGTTCCCAAATTTTCTGCCCAGGAAAGGGGGGTTCACCTTCCACTAGACTGAGATTGATCGACGTACGCTTGACGTATCGCAACAAATAACAGGCAAAAATCTCAACCAATCAGAGTTGTAATCGCCTTCTTGAAAAAAAAGCTTCCTGTACAAGAATTGGGTAGCAAAAAATGGCAAAGCATGTAGAGTCATCACTTCTTTTGAAACTTTTGTGCAGGTTTTTTCTTTTGGATCGGCATAGCCTTCTTGTGAACTTTTGCAGCTGGTTTTTGGACCATTTGACGCTTTTTGGGCTTAGTTTTCTGACGAGAGGATGATGGCTTCTTTGGTCCGATCTTCTTATGGATGGGTGGGGTGATAGGTGAGTCTGCGCTATCGTCTTCCTCCGACCCACTGAGAACCTCCTCATCGTCTCTCTCGTCCTCACATTCGCTGTCGCTGAGTTCAAAATCGGTCACTTCGTCAGCAGATGCCTCGGAGCCACTCTTCTCCTCAGGCTCTTTTAAAGCAGCTTCCAAATCGAAGTCACTGTCCTCTGAATCGGCATCGCCTGTCGCAGAGCCCTCGGTATCTCGGTCAACATCCATAGCCAACGAATCACGCTTCTTCGATTTCGATACATGGGTAATTGAAGTTCCATCGTCCACGTCATAAGATTCATCACTTTCCACACTATCTGAGTCCTCGTCAGAATCTCCTCCAATATTACTCTGGAACCTACGCTTCGGCTGGGCGGTTTCGTCAGGTATTGCCTGGTAGCAGTGGGAGAAAAAAACGTAATGGATTTACACTACTCTTCAATTAATCAGTAATCAGTGGTAATCAAGATAAGCAATGGACACGAGCGACGGTCCAAAATGTTACCACTAAAAACGACCAGAGTTGACCAAAGTACGACCGTATCACCAGATAGTTGCAGCACTTTTCGAGTCAGCGCCTAAACGCACTATTTCTTTTCACAATTATTCCAAACAAATTGGACAGTTGTTGAAACCAAGAGAAAAGACGCTTTGAACCAGCGTCTGCCACAGCTAAACCTAAATAGATAGCGGCTCAAACCGGAGCACGGCCGAGCCACTGATCCTGAAAAAGGTATTAATTCGAACGTCGTTTGCCAGAGACAGCAACATCAGTGTTGACACTGGTGCTTCACTGCTTTGCACCCACCCACGGAAACCTACGCGAAACATCATATAGGGGATGTCGGTTCATATGAAGGATCTACACAGATCTTAAGACCGGAATACGAAACGGTAATGAAACTAATCAATTGCGCATAGACAATGGAGACAACGGAATGACTGGAGGAAGCAGCGCAGCCCTAACAGTCATGACAGAAGTCGTTCAGCTGTAGCACCCTTTCGGTGCCTAACTGCCATGCCACCCGAAGCAGGCACTAGGGCTGGGATACTGCCAGGTCGCCCAAGCCTAGACAGGGCAAGTCGAGAGGTAGAGGTCGGGTTCGAACCACAGACCTTCCGGTCAATAAATTCGCGCTCTAACCACTTGGTCCATCTCGCCCCGAGAAACCATGAGGGGTTAACGGCCCGGACACCATCCGACGGTTTTGGCGAAACTTGGCGGTTCTTATAAGCTGTGTTGTGAGGAGTTGAACTTGCGCTTGTGGACTTCGTTGCATATCATCAACGTTACAAATCCCTGTCAAAATCAGAGCCAATAATCTTGCGCAGAACATCTGAACACCAGTACCGTTCAACAATAGCGTGATTAACTCTCAAGCAGTGATTGGTGCATCTACTGATATCACTTTGACATAAGTTTTTTGAAGAACAAAATGTGCTTTCTCACATCTAATGGAGGATCAGATGTCCCGAGGCTCATCGGACTAGAAAATGACGCGACACGCCATGGCAAGAGGGAATCAACTTTCCTAAGTGCAATGTTTGTAACCACCGCCGTTTCAATTTCACGCGGAATCATCGCAGACAAACTGAACAAAACTCACATCTTTCTTGTGACTCTCCGTCAACCGGGCCAATTCCTGAGCCCTCACCTCCTTGTGACACACGTAGAAGGCCCAGAATGGAGCCATGGCAGCTGATCCGTCCAGCACCGAGAGGGATGACTCGAACCTGACCTGTGGAGGATAAACAGAAGTGGGCGGGAAGATGCGTACAGGGGTATGTGTGGTGGTACATACAGATATTCAGCTTTTCTCCTCAGCGAGTACAGCTTTTTTGTCTAACCACCAGCAGGTCATTACCCGTACGTTAAAGTGTACCAACTGGTAAGCGATACAGGACCCGGAACTAAAAACAAGTTTCGTCCAGAGATCAAGTGGCGGTTCGTTTAAGGACGACACAGTGGTTCGGTAGATGGCATTCCATTGTGTGAGAGACCGGACAGACCTCAGTTTGAGCCAATGTAAGACGCGTTTTTGAACCGGTTGCCGTAGGAGGGTGTTTATTCTCGGTTTAAAGCAACTCAAAAGCAAGTTGATGATTGTGAGTTCTGCCCGGTGACATTAGCGTTCACACGGTCGATCATACTAAGATACGACTACTTTTCGAGAATAAGGTAGTAGTATACAGTTGGAGAGGAAGCACTGGCACCAACCCGATATGGTTTTAGCGCAGCCTGGGTAGCTTCTAAAGAGACTGGTCATCGATCCCATTCACCAACAGACAACCAGAATAGAACAAGACAGATCTTGCCAGAAGCGACAGAAATCCGGGATACAATTGAAGCCGGCTGTCACGAACGTCGATGGAATAAGGAAAATAAACGTTAAACCAACAGCAGTTGGAAACCTGAGTGGACACATGCTAGGAGAACCCACAGTCATAAGTCCCATCAAGATGAGATTTGATGGTAATACCTGCTCGCGTCGATGTCATCCGTCAGTAGCATTCACATGACATCATCGACAGAATGACACCAGTGTTCAACACCGATGCTTCACTGCCATGATTTATTTGAAAGCCTTATTGTAAAGAAAAGAGTGAAGGTGGACGGAGAAGGGACTTGGTGCTAGCTTACCACAATCATTCCGAGGTGCCTACACATCCAGACATTCACCTAGGCGATCTGGATAGAAACTCACAACAACAACGCCACTGACATTGGTCGGCAGACATATCTTGTAGTGTCTCCAACCAAACACAGTGAGGATCACGCGGTTCCCATCCTGGAAGGTGAGTAGCACCGACAGCACCCAAGCGCTTCGTGATCTCTTTCATGCTCCTCTGCCAGGTCAAGGTTTGACCACCTCTCTGAGTTGGGCATGGAAAACAGCACTCTCGTCGGCAAACGATGGTTCGGCACAGGCAACACATGTCCCAACCAACGCAGCTTCTGGTGCTGGACACATTCTTCAATGGAAGTACCCGTTGCATATCCGAAAACTCGCTTTCTAACTGCCTCGCTACGGATACGCCGACACCAACCCACACGAGCTATGGCTCAAGAACCTGAAGAGGTCTCAGTTCCGCTGCTCGAACAGGCTCAGCCTCAAAGCCATACAAAACAGCCCGCACTGTAGCTTGATACACACGCCCCTTGAGACTCATGGATACACCACTTTGACGCCATGTGTTAGCAAACGCGACCCGAGTCTTGCGGATTCGTGCGCTCACTTTATCCGTCACACTACTACAACTTTCAGGATACGTAAAACGCTCCACAACTTCCAGTACCTCTCCCTGGATTGTAAGTGGCGTGTTCAGTGACTGCATGTCTAGAAGCATGACCTTACACTCTGTGGGTGCAAAGTGCATACCAAAGGACTTTGGTCAGTTCATCCAAGATTATTTGCGCCTTCTCCTCCTCTTCGAAGATGAAAACGATGCCGTCTGCATATTCCAGATTGACAACGTTTCCTTCACAGGCTATTTGAACACCAGGGTTTTGGAGACCCTCCAGCGTTCGTCTCATTATTTCATCGATCACGAAGTTAAAAAGGAATGGAGAGAGTGGGCATCCCTGACGGACACCGCTTTGTGTACGGAATCATTTGGAGAGCTCTCTGTACACTCTCATATGTCCGAAAGTCTGAGAATACAGCCGAATACACCCGACATGCCATCCGACCAATGCACGCTTGAAGGGAGACAGGCAATTCGGTTCCTGTCTTGAAAAAAATACTGGGCTTTCTTTGTCAAAATGGGAAGTTTTCCCGAAACTGCATTCTCCTTCCCCTTTCTTTACATTCTTTACCAAGTCTTTCTTTTCTCATGGTTGTATCACAGGTAAGCATCAGTATGTATGGCGGGTATGACGGAAAGGATGGCGATGAGCCTAAACGGTTATGCACTGCATCTGAGAACGTCCAACCGGTACTCATGACAGTTTATTTGTACTAGCTCAGCCTGAATGCTTACTAAATGGAGTACAAAACAAATCCCAAGGATTCGCCGACGATGTCGCCCACCTAGCTCGGATCGAATCAGCCAATGCAATGAATTTCGTAAACCGGAAACTGTGGCCCTTTAAAAAGACGAGCGTTCCTGAAGAATAAATGCTTAGATGGTTATGCTAACGCTGAGGTCTTTTTGAAATATTCACTGGTCCGATATGAATGACCGCCATTAAAAACAATACACTCATGTCCTCGGTGTGGGGACATACGATGCGATGAAAACAGGTGCTCGCGGAGTCGAGTGGCTTGGCTTTGAATCAGCCAATCCGCGGACTGTTTCCTTTTTAGTTGACGTACTCGCGGAATCAGATACATATCGAACCGGATTAAACTCACTATTTCTTCAAGATTGGCCAGACTGCGTACACGGCGACGCTGCAAGCAGATCCAATCCGAGTGCTCCCGCAGTTTAGTTTGGAGAGCCTTCGTTTGCCTTGTGAATGCGGCCACGCGACATGTCCTTGAGAACTGTTTCAACTATAGTGATGGAACAAAGGGAGGAAATCGCAATGATGGAGTTACTGAGGTGGTCTTTGAGTCAATTTTTTACCTATCCGACGCGAACCTATGTGAAAAGATTAATATTTCAAATTGACAAAAAACAACTGCGTGAGCTTCATCTGGCCTGACCTTCATCGAAGCTCAACAAGCAAGTGAAAAGCGTTCAGCTGTAGCACCCTTCCGGTGCCTAGCTGCCATGCCACCCGAAGGAAGCACAAGGGCTGGGATACTGCCAGGTTGCCCAAGACTAGACAGCGAAGTCGAGTGGCGGAGGTCGGATTCGAACGAACGACCTTCCGGTCAGTAAATTCGCGCTCTAACCACTTGGGCCATCTCGCCCCCATGTGAAGCAAGTGAAAAGCTTTGGTTCGAGAGTTACACTCATTTGCACACCATTTTGGCTTTCACGGGAGAATCATCTGAAATCCAGCTTTGTGTCCCCCAACTGAACGTGCTACATAAAGTCCGCCTCATGTTTCAGTTGGCACGATATTTGAGGTATCGCAGTATATTTTCATAAAGGAAACTACTCACAAGGTTGCTGAAAACTCTTCGACATCCCACGACCGGTCTCGCACTTCTTGAGGCTCATCAGATAGGCGCAGTCCCCGAGTTTCCGTCAATCTTTCCGTTCTACTTGAACCAAAATTGGACTGTTTTTCGAGAGATACACTCATTTGCAAATCAATTTGGTTTTCACGAGAGACTCAACTGAATCTCTCGTTCATGATATTCTACAACTGAAATGTGCCGCCACAGGCCGCCTTATGTTTCAGTTGGCACGATATTCGACATATCGCAGTGTATTTTCACGGAGGAAACTACTCACAAAGTTGGTTGTCTTTCCAGAAACATTATGCGTAGTTTAGTCTACTGAAGGACACTTTACCTTGAAACGAGAAGCCTAAAAGCACTTGGTGCAGACGAAAAAGCACTTGGGATGAGAACCGGTTAGGCCACAGCGTCCCTAGATCGGCTCGACTGACTCGATTAGGTATGCAAAACCAAGCTGCGTCTAGAAGCGCCGACGAAAAAACATCTCTCCAATGGGAATGGTGTAGTTTGCATGAGATGAACCCATAAGGACGGTGAACAACCGCCAACTCGCACGTGTGAGCGATCGGCGCCCAGCAGTGAGCTTCCTACACCATCCTGAATGCGTTCAGTTACATGGAGAACGAGAAGCTGTTAGGTTTCCGGTTGCACATGATGATGCATGAGAGGCGTTCATACATAAAAACCGGGGACATTGTTGGCAAGAACCCAAGGGCCTCGACAACGTGTTGGTCACTTGGTTGGTCCCCAAAGTAAGCTGACGCGAAGCACGACCGGATTCTCCGGATACAGCAGGACTCTAGAAGTTGAAATGTTGGTAACTAGGGTGGGTTTCTTGGTTGTTGATCGGGTGGCTGTTAATCTGTTTGCTGAGCTTGGTAATTTAATTGCAAACATTTCGTTACCATACGAGTAGGCGTCATTAGTGCGGAGTTGGGTGAGTACTACTCTCTGCCTGCGTGCGTTTATATAGCATTTGAAAATTATTTCTTAATGTGATTGGCTAGTTGGTACTTTCGTCTATTACTTGAACACCAATCAAATTGACATATCCATTTGGGTCTGGCTTCCCTGTTTCTTCTTGATTGGAAGAGACGCCCAACCAATAGACCAAAGTACTGACTAGCCAATCACGTTGGGAGGTAACATATAATCTTCATACGCTATAAGAACGCACGCAGATAGGGAAGAAGTACCCACCCAACTGCGCACTGATGATGTCTTCTCATACAGTGACGAAGCGTTCGTAAGTCAAGATCGGTGAACAAATCAACTGTCATCTGATGTACAGCCAAGGAGGCCTATAAGGTCTAGGTAAAATAAATAACCAAATGGAATATTTGACTGTCGTCATCGGCAGTGATCATAACCAATCATTACCACCACATCTTACTTCCAGCTTGCGGATCAAACGATTTCACTCAGTCGATGATATGTCATTCGGGTGAACGAGAAGCGGAGGTCGGGTTTGAACCACGAACCTTTTGGTTCGTAAATTCGCGCTCTAACCACTTACCGTACAGGAAACGCTAGCATTTAGCAAACTGGTTGAACATGGAACGACTACATTTCACCACCAGTAAATTGTCGTTACCGATTAGGTGATTATCGCTCGGACAGTCTGTGGCCTTCGCACTCGACAACATCAGCGGCGGCATGTCAGTTAGCTGTCCCGCAAGGCAGCATCTACACCTGGAGAGATGCAGTCAGGCGGCACAACGAAAAGTGAACAATATGACAGATCAGTTCTGGTACGCTCCAAAGACCGTAAGGGAAAAGTACGCATACAGTCGGATTGAAGAACCCCTTCAGAAAAAAGCGATACAATTCAGAATCAGATATTGGTTCAATTATCTGTCGTGCACACCCGTGGTTGAACGGTCCGGGTGCATTTCTTGAGGGACAGTGTTGTCGGATGGGGATCACCCGCGACAAAAGTCCCTCCTACATCATCAGCAATGAAAGTGAAGTATCGTCAACACGGAAAACACTAGAAAAACGTTCAACAACATCTCCCACACACAAACCTCATTGACGAGTGGGAGGACATATTCCGGGAAGGCTACCGAGTTCGCTTGAATAGCTGCGGCTTCAGTCAACAAATCAACCAGCCAGCTGACCACCGCATCTAGTGAAGCAGTTTCTTTTCGTTGACTTGGCGAGAAATGCAACAGGAGGCGTAAATCCAGAGGAGCAGGGGACACACTTGTAGCTCGACGATTGAAATTCACGAAGCGAAATGTGTCCAGCAGGAGAGATAGGCTTGGAACTAACAGGCGATTGGCTGGAGACAGAGCATTGCCCGTCAACGGGAGGACATCGGTTTCTGTCTTCTCACCGTCAGTGTTGTGACGCAAGGTTGGTACACCGGCCAGCGTGTGAAGCATACTGACACAATGAAACCGCAGTGGAATCCAGCGCTCGCCAGGACTTAGTCTAGAATTACGAGGGACAGACAGAAATGTTACAGGGTGCATCATCATCATCATCGACAGCATGACATCAGTGTTCAACACCGCTGATTCACTGCTGTACAACCATGATTTATTTGGAAGCCTTATTGTAAAGAAAAGAATAAAGGTTGACGGGGAAGGGACTTAGTGCTAGTTTACCACAATCATTCCGAGGTGCCTATACCTCCAGACATTCACTCAGGCAATGTGGATAGAAACCGACAACAAGAACGCCACTAACATCGGTTGGCAGCCATATCTTGTAGTCTCCCAACCAGACACAGTGAGGATCACGCGGTTCCCATCCTGGAAGGCGAGTAGCACCGACAGCACCCAAGCGCTTCGTGATCTCTTTCATACTCCTCTGCCAAGTCAAGTTACAGAGTGAAAACGTCGGCATATCGCAGAGAAACTGACCGACTACGCTCCCCACATTTCAAACCGAAAATTCCAACTACGGCGATTCGCAAAAAATGTTGTTTCACCTGAATCTAGGGATGTATTGCAATGGGTGACAAGGATGAATGAGCTTCATCTTACAACCGTAAGTGAAATCTGTCAGCCGACTTCCAAGGGGTTCGGAGGGGACCACTGGCGTGCGTCCGACGTTCGCTGCACCTGATTGCAAGGGAAGGGACCAATTGACACAACGCGGGAATATTCCAAAACGCATACACGTACATCCGAAGTTTTGAGCTAACTTGCGGGTGAAAGTTCTGGCAACTATCACAACGCCGCCGCCCGTTGGATCAATGTCTGAGGGATCCAGACTTCCCCCGCTGAGGTAGAACTGGAGAGAGTTGTAACCTATTATCCAGAGGTGATCATATACAATTGCACAAAGATTGTCCTAGCTGGCCAATATTTGGATTGACAGATAGCAAACGAAAACGTGCGCGTTGTGTTCACTTACTCCATCGATTTCTGTAATGAAATTTGGTGGACCTAATGGATGACGTGGGTGCCAGACATCCTTAAATGGATTTGTCTCAGGCTGACTGTGAGTGTTTCCCTTAGAAGTTGAACCGTAATTTATGGCTTCTCCACTCTGTGGTCCTGCAAACTTTCTGTGGCTGCGGACATTTGCACTTTTCTTTCCCCAGGAATTCCACCTAAGGTTCAGAAAACTTCGGTCACTGTCATCTACGAACCCCATAGTGTGCGAGGAAGTGAGCATCGCTCACGTGAGTTTGCTCGTGTCTTGTCTCGGAGTTACCAAGCATTAAAACAGCAAGTTCACTCTAACCGTTGAACAGCAATCCTTCAACCAGAAAGCGGGGCGAGATGGACCAAGTGTTTAGAGCGCGAATTTTCTGACCGGAAGGTCCGTGGTCCGAACCCGACCTCTGCCTCTCGACTTCCCCCCTGTCTAGGCCTGGGCAATCTAGCAGTATCCCAGCCCTCATGCTTCCTTCAGGTGGCATGGAGCTGGGCACCGGAAGGACGCTAAAGCTGAACGACCAGCTTATTATCAACCAGAAACCAGATAGGATAATCGATGCAAAGCATACTTCAAAAACCCGACCAGAATAAAGAATTACCGCGAATCCAACAGTCGTAACACCAGGTGTAACTTGGTGCACCGCGGCAGCTCAACTCACTTAAGAAGGTGATTGATTGACTTAAACTCCATGCATTCTAGCATTAATCCTTTAGGCTTGAAAATAATGATGAAGTCTGGAAGTTTCAAATGAGGTTTCGTCCACCAAGTGAAGTCATTTTATGCCAAAATACTCTGTACAGCTGTTTTATTTTTGCCCGGAGACATCAACAACTGGTTAGCAGTCGGCTACAATACTTTTTGACCACGAGTGGCGGATTAGCAACCCAATCAACGCGCACTTAGCCTCACCCTCAATAACACAGTTCAGTCACGTGACTCGGTGTAGACCGCCACCTCGCGGGACGACTGATAAAATGGCCCATTCGAAATGTGGAATGCTCTGCCATGTCTTGGAAGATTACAACCAGATTTTTATGCGATATATTTGAGCAGTGCCCACGAAAACAAGACTCACCGTACTGTGCCAATGAGGAGCTGTACCAGTGGATGAATCAGCGACCGAATCAGTTTGTGAGAGGTGTGATATTTGGCAACAAACTCGGCCCATAGTTGGAAGCTATTGACAAACTGCCAGTTCTGTACGGCCTGCAAGTCTTCCTATATGCCAAAAAGAAAGACAGACGGCAAGGATTCATTGTGGATTCATTGTGTGAGATCAGTGCACTTTTCCCAAGATTTTAGGTGGTCTGTGTGACATTCATGTGATGTTGACTAGCTAATGCGACAGTAGAGAAGCGGTTTGTAACATGTGCCTAACTCATAAACAAAACAAGTCTGATCACGACCGACCTACTAGAACCGAGTCACCACAGAGGAAAATAAGTCAAACGGAGTGTACAAGACGACGTACGCCACTGTAATTCAGTCATAAGAACGGAGGTGGGGGCGCTACGGAGGTAAACACACAAAGAGAATTCATGTCCCGCGAGCCACATCTGCATAGCAGAATTCTAAGGCTTAGTTGCCAAGTCTGACAACACTAAGTCGTCTCCATTCAGCACTAGATAGTCTTGTGACAAGCGAGGATCGTACACAATCTGCGTAGTACGGTTTGCTCAGTAAACCAGTTAGTGTTCCACAGCACTGTTGATCCAGTGTTCAGAAGCACGGTTGTCCAATATCGTGTGTGTCATCATCATCATCATTGTCAGCTATAATAACCGCGTACACGTCGTACAGTGGTTGTAGCTGCCGCAGTTTCGTTCACCGAGGGGGAGGAGAGAGGTAGCTGCACATTGCAGGCGGGAGCTCATAAATTGGTGCATAAATCCATCCAGCTCAGTGGGCTGTCAAGTGGGGGGGGGGTTGGAAAAGGAGCTATGCATTGAAGGCAATAGCTTTGATGCATGAGCGCCATTGAGGGCGCGACTGGGCCATGTCTGATAATGTCTCTAGCCATTGATGTGGCCCGTCTCGGGGTCCCCATCCAGGAAGACGGCAGTGACCAGCGCAGCTGAGTTTGCTGGTAATGGCTTTCATACTTCGCTGCCAAGTCATTGTTTGACCGCCTCTGGCTCTCTTCCAACCTTCACGTGGTTGTGCGAAAAGAACCCTTCGAGGAAGTCGGTCGACTGGCATACGCAACACGTGGCCAAGCCAGCGCAACCTATGCAGTGTGATCAGTTCATCTATCGAAGGTGAGTTATTTCTCCCGTATACCATTCGACGTACTTCAGCATTGCTGATCCAGATTCGGGCAATGCTCCGAAGACATTGATCGTCAAACACTGAAAGTCTTTTGACGTCCTTAGCGCGCAACGGCCAGGTTTCTGATCCATATAGTAATAGTAATAATAGTAATAATAGTAACGAACGCTTCTCCAGAGGTGACAATTCGAGCGCGTCCAGTCTGCGTTGGCGAAGTAACGTCACACGTTGGGCGAGTTCATATCTCGGTGATGTTGTTTTACTTTCAATAGGTGCGAAACTGAAATGCAGTGCTCCTCATTTCGTTGGCTGCCGGACGGCACCAGGAGGGCTACTCAGATGGATGGATAGGGAGCACACTCAAAGTTTGTGACAGGTCCTGAACAAACATTCACCACAGTGAACAGCGAATTTGATGGAGGGAAGGACAGCGGAAATCCATGCCCGATAGCACTACAGGCATGAGGGAACAAGCCAAAAACTCGCCATGGATCTTTTGTACACGGAGTGAAATGAAACAACTTCGATCAGTAGAGATTTTTGGATCCTACGGAGCTATGTTGAGTAGAAACTCGTTGGGATGTTTAGAGCACGTGTTCCATGACTTACAACCTAAGAAAAGCGTTCAGCTGTGGCACCCTTTCAATGCCTAGCTGCAATGCCACCCGAATGTTGCACGAGGGCTGGGATACTGCCAGGTCGCCCAAGCCAAGACAGGGCAAGTCGAGAGGCAGAGGTCGGGTTCGAACCAAGGACCTTCCGGTCAGTAAATTCGTGCTCTGACCACTTGGGCCATCTTGCCCCCACTTACGACCTAAGCCTCTGTCTTCCGATGGGCAGGTCTTCAGATAGAAGCGTGGACCTGCTCCCCCCAAAAAAGGGTGTTTCGCAGTCCCAGAGAGTGGTCTCTCTCTTACGGTCCCTCTCATGGAGAGGCTGTCATATCTAGAAAGAACAACAGGCAACTGAACGAGGTGCAGGGGCTCAAAGAGTTCCTTTTCGTTTGTGCTACGTACACTGGGACTTCTCATTTCATTATATACCCAATCCCCTTATATCTCCAACAAGTTACAAAAACATAGTTGGATGATATCAACGTCTGGCTCATCGTGAAAGTCACACGAAGGGGGCCCACTAATTGTACTGGAGGAGAGGTGTGGTGAATCAGCTGTGAAGTCCAACCGCACAAGCATGAAGGATAGCAAGCGTCCTCAGTAGCATGGTCAATACAACATCCGGAGGTTGAGGGTTGGTGTCAGCCCCCACCCCAGGTTGTCTTTTCTTTCATGCCACGTGTACTCGGATTCCTAACTTCAAAAATTACATAAGCATTAGCTGTTACGCTTTTCAGGTCACGGCAGTGAGGCGCGTGTTCTGATACTGCCGTCAATAATGACGACGATGGCCAGATCAAGCTCATGAATTCCACTAGGTATTCTTCCACAGAGTTGAAATAGCGCAAGAACCGTTCAGGGCAGTTTTTTCCAACATGTAGATAAAAAGGGGGTGCTCTCGTGGCTTAGCACAGGAACAGCCTGACGACAGTTAAACTCGTGCGGAAAGCGGAGTGAAGACTGAATACGATTGAAAGAAACCGACGGCGAGAAACACCATTCAGTCTAAAGATTTGTGGCTGAGAGAAACGTACTTTGACGAACAACACAACGAAAGCCGCACAAACTGCTCGATGTAGAGAGTTTGCCGAAAATTTTTGCAACAGCCTCATTGGTTAGTATGCGAAACACGTGTGCTTTCGGTGCGAGCCCTGGTATGGCCAGGTGTAGGCAGACATTTTGAGTATGATTCTAACGTGTTTAATAAACCATTCAGCTGTAGCACCCTTTCGGTGCCTAGCTGCCATACCACCCGAAGGTTGCACGAGGGCTGGTATACTGCCAGGTTGCCCAAGCCTAGACAGGGGAAGTCGAGTGGCGGAGGTCGGATTCGAACCACGGACCTTCCGGTCAGTAAATGTGCGCTCTAACCACTTGGACCATCTCGCCCCCTAACGTGTTTAATTTAAACATTTGGTTAAACACCAAACTCATGACTTGGCAGTTATCATGTCTTACAGTGAGTGATCAGAGGAGGTACTCTGACGATTTGCCGGTAGCCGGATTGTATGACTCAACAGTTGGCTGCATCAGATCCGCGCCAGCTGTGCAAACGCGCGTTTGGGAGAGTGACAAACTGGAGGCGCTAACCAGAGGATCGCGCGTACGACATCGCCACACACGCACACGCCAGATGAATCGCCCGACTACAACTTAACATTACAAATGTGATTCGCTTATGTTCGTCAGAAACCAGCCAACCACTGCCTTAGTTGAAGCTACTGGCTCCTCTGGTTCACTATACTGACTAGACTTATTCGTTTTCCATCCCAAGTAATGTAAATGTTAACCGAGAACAGACCAAAAGGATTCCATGAGGTATCCTCAAAGCAACGATCCAATTTTTCGGGAACAAAATGGCTCAGGGGTTAGAGCACGAATTTACTGACGAAAGGGTCCGTGGTTCGAACTCAACTTCTGCATCTCAACTGCTCCTGTTTAGGGTTGAGAAACGTGACAGTATCCCATCTTTTCGGGTGGCATGGCAGCTAGGCACAGCTGAACAACCTCCAAAAAGGATTTCGTCGCTTTTTTCTCCCACTACCCAATTCGATCGAAAAGACAGCATTTGAAGTGCCAAACACAGTTACTTACCTTGGAATGCGAGGTGTGTGCCTTTCGGAGACATATGGCCAACTGGCGAATATAGACAAACGCATGAAGATAGGCTTCGTCCAAATTCTTCGAGAACAACTCAAGCAAAGACAGCCGCATAAAATTGATGGCCGCGATAGACCCACCGAAGACAAATTTGGAATTCCGAACATATGCGGCAAACATTGTCTATCCAACAAACGTATCGTATGCCACAAGGGAACAAACAAACCTTGATGCACAAAGACATACACTCGGGAGCGATATCCATCGCTTGGAGGACGTTTAAAAAGGCCAATACACGGCGTGATTCTTCATCCTCACTCCAAATTTTTGTCATCACCTAAAATGCCAGTCAGGGGGGCCATTTGGCGAAATCAATTTGCACCTTGAAAAATAGTTTTTGCAATTTCAGATGCTTCATCAGTTTTGGCAGAGCATGACCAATTTTTCTAAGGTCTGGTGTGGCCTGCTTCAGCAATGTCTTCAACATTGGCTGAAAAATATGGGTGTTAGCGAAATACGGTCTACCATAGACATTGTTCCACGAATTCTCCAAGTCAGCAAATAGTGTTCAATGAGAGCTGAAAATGCATAACGGAACAGTATCAGCGTCGATGTTGGTGTGCCGATAACTCGTAATGATGCTCGCCTCGGACATTACTGATCAGACAATGCAAAACAACAGCAAACAAAGATACATATGTCAATCGATTCATGCGGTGCCGGGGAGAATGGGTGGGCCAGTGTAGTAACGGTATTTTCCTCAGCTTAGTTCGCGGTCTGAGCCTCCCCAGCTAGCGTTCGCGTCAAAACAACCACCAAAGGTCCACAGGGTCTATTAATGCCCAAAACGAAGTCAAGAACAGTTGTACAGCGCTTCGTATATAAAGCGTAAGCGGTTATAACTTTCTGGAATTTCTGACGCGTTCTGGATGCGCCATTGGCAACCGGCATTTGGCCAATACTGGGTCATGATTGGCTGTTGGGCCCAGATTGTTGACCAATCAGATCTCGTCTTGATGCCGGACCGGCAAGCGTTCCGAATTCCGGGCCAACCTCGTGCGGACCAGGCTTATCGGCCGTAGCAGCGCCTAAAGGCGTGCGGTATAGGGGGATCCGTGTGGATTCCTGCCTAACAGCCAGTATGCCATTTGATATGAAATCGCTAAAGAACACAGCTTAAGAAAGGCCATAACAGACAAGACATCTGCCCCTGGTTCAAAGTAACGTTCTGGATAGCCATCTGTGTCAAAGCATTGCTGATGCATCATCATACGCTGAGAAAACAACCGTCATTCAATCGGAACAAAGAGAATCAGATAAGAGCACGCAGGTATACGATGGTCTTCTAGAACAAACAACAGTCATGAAGTTGTCCGATCGGTTTCAGTGCGGAAAGAATCGATTTGATCGAGAGTAGGAGCAAATATCAACACGTTTGGGATAACACTAGATACTAAGGAATGGAACGAAACTACTGAGGTACTGTAGCGTCTCTTAACAAGATTTTACACGAAGGAACCTTATAAAGTCCTGCCTACGGCAGTGGAGCATCGGTGTTAAACACTGATGTCATGCTGTGGATGATGAAAGTCCTGCCTTATCATCTACAAAATCACATCGTTATGCTGTTGAAAATGTACTAGAGGCATCTGCGCGCTTCATAGAAATGTTCTCGTCGAACCTCCCATTGGGCCTTCTTTCTTCAGTCATCCTGGCGTCTAACGCACATACCGCTTACTCTCGGCTGCTCACCGTCCATTCAGTACTATTACAGTAAAGCAGCCAAAGCGTGGCCCACCATAGTACTGTGCGAGGCTTATGAGTTCTGATCTAGTATTAACCAGGCCAAGCCAGTGACCACGAGTAGAGCATGAAACCACAGCAGCGAACGTAAGAAATTGGCACGACAAGAGCGAAAAGACGTGTACTTTCACTCCTGAATATCGCCACATGTCATAAGGTTCCAATCTCGGTGACTAATACCATCATCACACGAATGTATACTATACATTATATTATGTCTTATACATTACGTCGCATTGAATATAGCCACATCGTTTCATCCATTTAATGGCAGCAGGAAAACCAAAAAGATGTAGATGTNTAGATGTGGCTTGTTGGATCAGCTTACAGGAATGAATTACCGAGATTCCATCAGAGTACACGTCGGCTCAAAGACCAGGAGCAGTCGAGGTTACACATTCAAATCGGTTGGATTGTTTTGGTCCTGCGGAGACAGAGCATCGTCATTTTTAGCGCTGGGCCACACAGTCGTACAGAATTGAGCTTCCTGGCTGCATTGACAGCAAGCGTAGGCAAACTTTCGGTAGCTTCAACTCCGCACAGGGTTGGCCGGAAATGGCGCTGAGAAGGAGACAGTTCCCTAACACGTGAAGCAATTCCTAAACAGGGGCGAGATGGTTCAAGTGGTTGGAGCGCGAATTTACTGACCGGAAGGTTCGTGGTTTGAACCCGACCTCTGCCTCTCGACGTCCCCTGTCTAGGCTTGGGCAACCTGGCAGTACCCCAGCCCTCGTGCTTCCTTTGGGTGGCATGGCAGCTAGGCACCGAAAGGGTGTTACAGCTGAACGATTTTTTCCTAGACAGGGTAGTTCGTGGAAGGTGATCAGTACAACTGTCGCGAGTGATAACACCAAACGTACCTCAGTACTGTTGATCCAAAGTTCCCAACAGCTCCGTAGCAATTCTCTAGCTACCGACGACCACACTTTAAAGGCCTTTTTATATCTCAGCACGTATCAGCAATGCTGTTTATTCACAAAGCAGTTGCGAACCCCTCCTGGTCTTTCGAACCGAGAAGTGATTTCGTCTTCCATTACTGTACGTGGCACGTGCGGAAGAGCCTCTCACAAACCGACACGCATCTCCGAGAGTCGGCCATAGTAGTATTATTGCAATAACTGATGTAGGATACTTTCAACATTCCGAATTCGCTCGTTCCAGTTGATTCCAGCGAAATCGCACTACCATATCGTCTGGCAAGGAGTTTAATCGAAGATAACCTTTAGGTAAAGGATTGCTGCTACTTCTTGTTGGTTGCTGTGGCAATGCTCAAGCACCTACCGTAAGGGGACGTTTACAGTGCATCTCAGCTCGGGAAAAAACATACCGGATAGAATTTAGGGTTACATTTATGGCTCTCATAGAGAGAATGTGCTCACATCCCAGATGAGTTCACTCAATCTTTAAGGCTTACTTTTAAGGAAGCCAGAACAGTCTCCCGAAGCGATCGGTATAAAAAACATCCCTCCGATGTTGAGCAGTCATGCCACGCGAAGGAAGAACGAGGGCTGGGATACTGCGAGGTTGTCCAAGCCTAGTCAGGAGTTAAGATGACGGAGCTGCGTTCTAAATCACCGAGCTGAAGGGCCTCTGGTTGGATGGCTGCCCGATGACAGTTGCCTCCGTGAAGTTCATCCAGCAATATCTGTGAGGACATCACGCAAACGCGCCGATGATCACCGTCTGTTCAAGCATCGGCTTACCTCCCAGGGGCGAGATGGCCCAAGTGGTAAGAGCGCGAATTTACTGACCGGAAGGTCCGTGGTTCGAATCCGACCTCCGCCTCTCGACTTCCTCTGTCTAGGCTTGGGCGACTTGGCAGTATCCCAGCCTTCGTGCTTCCTTTGGGTGGCATGGCAGCTAGGCACCGAAAGGGTGCTACAGCTGGACGCTTTCTTTCTTTCTTTCTTACGCCCCAACAGATTTTAACCCTGATGCACTCAGAAACAACTTTCACGACGCTTCGAGCGCCTTGTTGCAGTAAATAAGAGCCCAAATATTGTTGTGATTGTTATGGACATGAATGCGTAAGTAGTTGTATCGCGGTGGTACTTATGAATACGAACGCATTAGAATTAGCGCTGTTGAGGCTCAATTGGATGATCGTCCTGGAAAAAAAGAAAGCGTTCAGCTGTAGCACCCTTCCGGTGCCTAGCTGCCATGCCACCCGAAGGAAGTACGAGGGCTGGGATAATGCCAGGTTGCCCAAGCCTAGACAGAGGAAGTCGAGAGGCGGAGGTCGGATTCGGACCACGAACCTTCCGATCAATAAATCTGCACTCCAACCACGAACCATGAACACAGACTGCTGCTGTTCAGTCCCAGCTACCGAAACAACCAAAGCAGTTTCTACACAGGGTGCACCCTGCATTAAGTCATCCTCCAACACAGATAGACCACATCGCCACTAGCTACATGTGGGTCAACTACTGACTGTCGCTCATTCTGGAACGCCTATTGTGGATTCGGATCACGTGCTTGTTCTTTGCTTCTACTCGTTAAGCTTTTCAGGAGCGCGCAAGATGTAAACACATCGCCTGGTCATTGAAAAGCTCTCGGACCCTGATGCGAAGTAAGCTTACTAGATCCACCTACTGAGGTCCCTTTCGGACAAGATATCTTTTAATGTTGGCTCTTATTAAAAGGCACTTTCCGCAACACATCAAGATGCTGGGTAATTCGCCTGTGGAATGGTTCAACCAAATAGGCCTAGGTAAGGAATCTCGAGCAACACCCCAGGATTGTTCGGAGCTCGGAAGCGTATTCATCCTGGCCAAGAGTATCCACTCGGATACGGGAGTCCGATGGGTCCAAAAAGCTGAAAAGATGGAGGATGCGGGAGACTCAGAATGTGCGTAAACTGTTCCAGGCCCAAAGAAGTCTCCGGTAGCCAAAACAATAATCGATAGAAACGATTTGCTCATCTTTTAAAAAGAAGAATGCGTGAATCGTCGGGTTAATTGCCTCCAAGAACATCGTTTTGGAAAAAAGTTTGGTGACAATCGGTAGATCTATTGCTGGGCAACGTTTCGCTTTTGACACAGTTCACTGACAGTTGCTTGGCCGGATTCCGGACGACCGAAGCAGCTTTGGACTGTGAACTCGGAAACCTCAACGATCTCTGGAATAAGCGATTGCTTATTGTCACTCAAGCCTCATCGGGCTGCTGGTCTTGATGAACCCTAACTTGCCTTCTTCAAAGATGGAGGTGAAAGCCTCAGTCGGTGCTTGCCTACCGTATTTGTCTCTATCAGAACGAAAGGGACCGCCCCAATCGACAGGATTGAGTCGATATTGGTGATTGTTTTCATGAAGTGTGCTCGCGGTGACCTCTGTTGTAACCAGACTCTGTGTCATTTATTTTACATCGCCCTACAAAGGCTCGTGAAGACGGTACTCGAGAACGGCAAGCAGGATTCCGAGCTGGAAGGGACTACACTCCGTCAAGTGCTAGGGCGAAAACATACGTAGGCAACATACGTACAGGTATTCCTTGACCTCAAGGGTGCGTTCGACTGTGCCGATAAGTTGGTTTTCAACACGCTTGCGCAACAGAGTATTCCCTGGATGTTCATGAATTTCATCCATTGTTTATATTCACATAATTGTGGGCATGTATGTGGTACTCTACAAAAACTTTCCTACAAGCCGTGGTGTTCACACTCTGCATTCTTTAATGTCGTC